TAGGTAGTAATAAAGATAAACTGTGCCCCTGAATGGGACTATCATTCTCGCTCCTGAGTGAGGACCAGATTAGGAATTCTAATTTATCTCAGTTGATTTCATTGGCACTCTATTCCATCCTGCTCCATTGCTGAATCTTGGTGCCACCGAGGAGAGTTTTTCCCCAGCTCTTGGCTTCATATGGAAAGCTCCATCTGGTCCCTCCAGTGCACAAACTTCTATAAGTTTACAGCCAGTAATTCTCATCCTTCCTGCTACTGCTACCTTTCAAACTCCAGACTTAAAGGTTATTATCTATTTTTTTATGCTCCTGTGTACTATTACCCTTCAGTTCCTGCTCAGTGCCATGGCTTTTGGTTTCTTCTAGGTTTATGACATTTGTGTATTTTCCTTTCCTGCTTCTGAATGTGACAGTTTAAACTCTTCAAAATAATTTTTCTAGAATTTCTATAGTTAGAATGAGAAAGAATGCTTATCACTTATCAACTCAGTACTCCCTTTTTTCTTTCTTTCTTTCTTTTTTATTTTGACTTTTTTTATTAGTTCAGTCCATGCAGGTTATTCCTGTTCTGCTCAATTATTTATTTTTTATTGGGTCAGCAATTTTTAAAAAACTTTTTTCTTAAAAAAAGTCAAGTTTTTAGAAAAGTTGAAAGAATAGTACAATATCAGTTTTCACCATTTTTCCCCTTGTGAACACACCTCTTTTGCCCCTTCCCACACATACACTGGCAAACTTTTTTCCCCCAAAATCATTTAAAAGTTAATTGCAGACAACACAACACTTCCTCACTAAACACTTCAACAGACATCTCCTAAGAGTAAGAGTAAAGACATTCTCCTACAAAATTAGAATACCATTGTTACAGCTAAGAAAATGATTATTAACTCAGTGTGTCACCTAATGTACAGTCTATATCCAAATTTCCAAGATTGTTCTCAAAACATTTTTTGCTGTATATGTATGTGTGTTTTTTTTGTGTGTGTATTTGTATGTGTACTTGATTCATGATCCAGTCAGTGTTCCTGTATGACATTTGGATATTCAATCTGTTTAGTCTCTTTTAATTTAGAATGCTTTAAACTGCATTTTATTTTTTTTTTCTTTGAGTTGGAGTCTCACTCTGTTGCCCAGACTGGAGTGCAGTGGCCGCTCCCGGCCACCGCAGCCTCGACCTGCTGGGCTCCGG